TGAATGATTCAGTAGGGGAAAAAATTAAATGGTATTGGCATGAAGGACTACTAACTGCCTCAACTTATTAAAAACAGTGTCACATCATGCCAAAAAAAGTTAACCCATGAAACCACTGTAATCTAATATAATAAGGACTAATGTTTTCTCTGGCTACAATCAAGATTAGTAAGCAGAGCCAATTTACACAACAGCTTACAAACTAAGAGCAATATGTTTACTGAAACATTCTAAAAATTTAGTCTACACTTAACCAAAGAGAGTGTTATATTCCAAAAGAACTGCTTAACCATTCTAGCTTCAGACGTTACTACGGCTGAAAGAGATCCTAACAAATATTTTGCCTAACACCCTCATCTAAACCTTAAGAAAACCAAAGATCAGCAAAGTAAAATGGCTTGACAAAAGCAAACAGATAATTAACGGCAAAACTAAGGTCAAATCTAATTTTGAATGATCATCTTTGAGAGAATCCATTTTTACTAATTTGCAACATTGTTAAATGGATTGACATAAAACAAAAATTTGATTTATCAGTCTACTATCTGGAAATGAAGGAATACTGTTAGTCTTTTCAAATTGCTACCTTTTCTATTATGTCATTTTTAAATTTCATTAATTGTAAAATTGACTGCTCTGTTGCTTGAGGGAAGCTGACTCTTCTTTGTATGCTAGCAGAACTAGGATTCCTTATTTTTTGTCCCAGTCAGATAGTAACCCCAATAAACAAAGAACACAAATAAAAACACAAAGAGGGCATGTTATTCATTGCAAGACCTGGGATATTTTCCCCTCACACTCTAATATGTAACATTACCTCCTCTGTCTCTTGGTCACGGGGCCCCATTGATGCTGTCAAGTCTACAGAGGCAGCTTCCTCATTTTTTTCTTTCTCAAGCAGGAGCCTTCACAACCACGGCAATGTAAAATGAATGACTCAAAACTCCTGTGAAATTTGCAATTGTGTATTTATTTGTATGATTGTTTAATTAATGCTTGCTGATCACACCAGATAGTAACCTTGAAGACAGGGATGTATACTTTCTACTCAGTAATATATCTTCTACTCCTAACAAAAGTGCCTGGGAAACTCAAATTCTTGATAAATATCACTGAATGATTACATCACTGTTCTCAAAGTGTGGCATCCAGGCCAACGGTATCAGAACCATCCAGACACATGTTACCAATACAGATTGTTGGACCCTACTCCAGGCCTACTAAATTAGAAATTCTGAGTTTAGAGCTCAGCAATCTGTGTTTTAGCATCCCCTCAGATGATTCTGAAATAAGTCAACATTCAAGATTTCCTTCTTTGAAAGCACAGGTTGATTTCTAACCAAGAATAGTTACACAGACCTGGTGGGAAAGTAGTACCCAAAGATGGCAGATGACTATCTGGATACTGAAAAACAATGCACTGACCCACCTTGTATGCATTATATTCCTATTTGATTATATCCTTTCCCGTGAAATCTAATAAATCTTCTCTTTTGAAACAAATGAGTTTTTACTTCCCACAACAAAGAGAGGAAATTGCTCATATTGCTTCGGAGAGAATGATAACCTAAGACATCCAGCCTGGTACTCAAATCCCTGGAGTCCCAGTTAGCAGAGATTATACTTCCTCATGTTAGCATGTTTTAGACATAACTGGGCAAAGGAACTAAAGTTTAACTTCCTGATAACCCCTTCTAGCCAATTTAGAAGTACTGCCCTTGAACCTTGATTCCCTTATTTGGGTCTGTGGGGTATCTTGGTAAATAAATTACTCACGCCTAAGCTGGAACACAACTTCCTCTCTCAGAAAGAATAAGTGAACTCCAGTGAGCAGATACTATCATTATCTTTGATTCCTAATTTAGAAGGCTTAGAAACACTAACCAGGTAGCCTTTTGGGTAGGCCCCTTCCTGCCCTTTCAACTAGCCAAAATACCCACCAGGTACACAGATCACTTGCCTCTATGGTGTACTTTTCTCCTGATTCTTCAACAATACTGATTGTAAAGATATGTGGCAAATTACTAAAATATTTGTTGATAATTTTGTGTTGTATTTTTCACAGCATTGACATTTTCAAAGTAATTTGGCAGGAGACAGAATGTTTAGCATCTTTGTAAGACAGCTTAATAACACAGTAAAATATTTGCATATATAACTTGTCAAATCAAAAATATTAGAAGAAATCTACAAAGAACATACATCAGTTTCTTCCAGCGTGTTTAGAAAAACATGGACTTGGGAGAGCTAAGTCCACTAGGTAAGATTCTACTATTTCTGACAAGGATTAACCTGGTTTGGAATAGTCTCTGTGTATTCCTTTTCTATTTATTCCTCTACTCTTCCAGGAAAAACAATCAGGAAGAGAAAACAAGTTATGAAAACAGTGTTTCCATTTTAGTTCTATGTTTTATCTTATATTAAACAAAATGTCTCTATAAAAGGATAACATTTGTTTAGTTAACGATTTTTAAAATTTAATTTTGAATTTTACAAATATCATTCACACCTGGGCAGAGACATTAAATTCTTAGGTATCTTAAAAGTGAGTTAATTTTTAGTGGTTTTAGAAATTTCATTTCACGGTTTGGTTTAGGTTAGCATCTCATAATTTCAAAATAAATTTATATGGGCAATAATTTATTTGCTAATATGGGAGTTTTGATAATGTAGGAATATTATCATATATAATGATAAACACATATGGGCAACAAAATCTTCACTTAAGAAACTGAACACCTGGTGAACTGCCATCAAACTATGTTAGGAAAAGTGGCTTCTATTTGCATTGTTGCAAGGTTTTGGGTATGATGTTTGTGCTTTTTCTTTATTAAGAGCAAATCTGCTGATCTGGGCTTGTGAGTGTATTATTAGTTAATTTTGTGATTAAGTGTTACCAAGGAGACTCTATTTTCCTCAAGCCCATAGCTGTATGATAGTGCTTCTGACATTTCACCCTGTGTTTGATATCACATCAGTCAGTGCTATACAAACTGAATTGTATAGTTTCAAATAATACAGAACTAAAATAATGTAATGTATATAAGCCATTGAAAAGACTAACCAGCAAAGGATGATAATAGACTTTTGAACTTTTATTCCAGTGTGAACCACACCAAATTCCATTTATTTCTATACTCTGTTCCTTTTACTAACAATTCTCCTTCAGGTAATAGGTTTTAGGAATACCACATCTAACAATGCATTTGAAGGCTCTGACAATTTGAAGTAGCTAGGACCAGGCCAGTAGCTGCAGGATATAACACAAACGTGAATGTGGAAAAATGTAAACAGCAATGTCTCACCTGGCAAAAGCACAGAAAAACTGCAAAGCAGATGAAAAGGTGAGACAGGAATGTTCAAGTGAATAAATGTATTTTGTCCATTAAGACCAGCCTACCACAAATAATTTTCCTTACTGGTCTACTTTATGGACTCCATATGGGATTGTGTAGAAAAGAAAATAGTTTGGCCTCTAAACTGCATTATCAAAAACATGAAATCCTTAAAGATAACTCTAAAATTGAGCAGCGTATGAAAGCCTTCTGCCATATAATATGAATGCCACTGGCAAAAAAATGAATAATAGACTTGCACTCAGGAAAGAACCAGATAAATAAATCTAGCTCATTTTCCCTCACTTTGGGATTTCTAGATAAAGGATACATTTAATCAAAATCAGAGTTTTAAATAAGAAAACTATTTGATAATTCCATCATAAATATATAATAAAACTTGTGAGACTAAATCTGTACACAGCGTTATGGTATATTTATACACAATCTCAACTACTGAATGATCCATAAGACACTAGCAATGAATTAATGTTTTAAAAAAACAACTTCCCTTGTAACATAAAATATCTACCCTTTAAAGAAAAAAAAATCCATCATGAAGATTATTCATCTGTAAAAATAAACAAACTGAATGAATGGCTTTGCATCTTTAAAAGTCAATTATTTTTAGGAAAGGGTAAGACTGAAGTAACTCATACTACCATATGTAGGCAAGTACACCTGACCTGTAGAAAAATTCTGTGCTTTGGTATTCCTATTTCAAGTAAAATATTTTACAGACTCAGTTTAAACTAAGTTGAATTTAAATAAGAAATTTGTTGACTACGTTTTGGGACTGTATCTGTCTTGTGAAATTTTATAATTCCAATACCTAGAACATGTTTAGAACTTAATAGAGACCCAGTAAAAACAAGTAATTAGTAAATGTTAAAATAATGTGAGAAAGCCCATGGAGGGCATTTTTCTTTTAAAAATGGCTTAAATTCAAATGCAGAATGTTACTGGATTTCAGACAACAATGGGCATTTATAGTAACCAAATCAAATAGCAGCTGTTTGTAACATATTTTGCACATTTCACAATGGGAGCCTTTCTGAATTGATATGACTTTTGTTTTTACCCTTTGAAAGCCTAAAATGATAGATTTTTCAAAATAAAAATGGTATTCACCAGGCATCTATAGAAATGAGTTTAAGGAAATCGTGATAAAATGAAACTATTCAAACCCGTTCATCAAGTTATAAACCTATCAACCACTTCACTAAAAAGAAATTACTTTTGGTGGTAAGAGGACAGTTAATATTTTAAATCATTAATTTCCATGTGGCAAAACTGGCATACATCTAAATTCAAAGTTCAGTTTATAACCAAAAACGATAACTTAGTAAGAGTTTCTAAGAAGATAAACTCAATAAATAATACCTATTTGCAAACAGTGCTACCATGTATATGTAATAATAATACTGCAATATTGGAACACAGGCATCAGGCAGCTGTTCAGTTCATCAACACTGATCGAATACTTACTGCTTGCCCAACACAGAGTCAGGTGGTAAGCTCTGTGCTACTTAAATCTATGATGGTTCATCAATCATGGTGTTTGCACTATATGGTTAATATTTTTCTATTACTCCCCAAATGAATACTGGCCTCTTAACATGATTTATTTAAGGAAGTAAAAGAGTGTGTCCAATGCCAGATTACCTCACATTTATTTAGCAGCCCAGTTTCTTGCAGTCGTGACCAGATACTCTGTATTCGTCCAGCATGCTCAGGGTGGGTGGTGGAATTGCCACAAACGCACTGATGTTTCAGCATCAAGGGGTCGTAGGCAATTCCTTCAAGACAAGGGAAATACAGAACAAGATTGAGGTATAAGGTAACGATATGTGTTAGAAGATAATATGACAACTCAAAAAAAGTCATTGTTCTTAAAATAAATTTGACAAAGGGGGAAATAATACAAATTCTCAGGAGCACATCAGAGCTATTTAGTCCTATCTATCTGGATACTTGTATAAAAACATGAACTCATGGATTAACCAGTACTCAGACCCTAGTTTAGTAAATCTGTAGTGATGAAGATGATAATATTTATAGACATTTCAGATTTTAAAATATATATATATATATATATATTGTAATATTTTATGAAAATCATTATGAATTGTTTTTAGGCAGATAATTTAATTCAGTAGAGGTTTTAATTTCACCGCATCATTGGAAACACAAAATGAGCTGGCTCTTTAAATCTTTCATAATTCTAGCCTGAGTTTAGATGAGGGTTACATTCTTGTAATAAACTGGATTCTCCCACTCTTTGCCTATCCTGTTTAGTAATTTCTTCAAGGTTATGCAAAAACCGTTTCTTTGTGTTTCTCCCCATAATTTATATCATTATGTAAACAATATGGATATTGTAAATCTTATAATATTGTGGGGCATTTAAAGTGTTTCTTTTAAAAAATAAATGTAAATTACAATGCCACTACCAGAGATTATACAGATACTAATGAGTACAATCTGCTTTTAAATTATCAGGTGTTAGCATATTTCATTTTCAATCACGATGATGAAATGAATTATTAGCGGTACTTAAAATAGGACTTTTTAAAGTAACAAATTAGATGAGAATTATAACTCTAGCTCATTTTAAGAAGATTTTCATCAGTAACCCTATTCCGTGATGTGGAAACATGTTGCTTGCAAAATTGCCTGACATAAGAATTTATCAAATCAAATGTCCTCCAATAAATGACCATCAAAGTACATTTGTAGATGGGAAAAATACCCATGATAAGAAATTTTACAACAACCACCAATAAAAATCTTCAGGAACAGATGAGCACCAGTAATTTATGCTGTAAAACAAGTTAAATTAAATACACTTTATTTTCCTTTTGGCTTACATTATTGTGTTAAAAAAATGTTGAGAGGAAAATATTTTTCACTGAGTATACTAAAATGATGCAGAAGAATGCCACATGCATTTTGAAACCATGTGCTAAAAATTATGTCTAAGAAAAAATATAATTTTACTAGTCCAAATAATATGTATTCTTGGAATCAAATGGCTTCAACTCCATCCTTCTTTCCCTGATTCTCACATTTTTGTCCTCAAGACTGACCTCCTTTATGAGCAGCTTATTGCACACTTACCCATTGAATGACCAATCCAAAATCTCCACTTAGTTGTCTCATGGTTTTCAAAAAGTGAAAATGTCTCTGATTTTGATTTCATGATCATAAACCACACACGATATTACTCATGTTTACAAAAGACATCAAGATTTGCCATTGTTTATACGAGAAACCTTAATGTTCCCTTGACACTCCCCCTCCAATGAACCAAAGTAGTGTTCTGTTTTCCCTCTAAAGCAGATCTTGAATCACTCACTCTCCTTATCTCCACTGCCAAAACCATACACAATCTAAGGTACTATTATCTCTAATCTGGACTCCTGAGATAGCCTTGTAACTGGCAACCTGACTTTTACTCTACTCCATTTGCCACGCAACAGTGGCCACTTCTGTTTAAACCCTTCAGGGCCTTCATAGAAGAGACAGAAATTCCTCCAGGCCAGCGTAGATAGCTCCCTCCCCAACCTTCCAGCTTCATTTCATATCTCTCCCTCTTTTGTTCTCAATTTCTCTTATTAAAACCTTCCTTCCTTTCCTTACAAAGGTCAAAATCCTACCAACCTTGTGATCTTCATACATGCTATTCCCTCTATGCCAGAAATTCTTCCTTCTTGACCGCCATAACTCCAGTCCTCATTCGGCTAATTTTTTTTCACTCTTCAAGGCCCAGTTTTTAATGTCACCTCCTCTACCAAGCATACCCTGAGATCTCTAAATTAGGTCTCCTACTATATGCTCTCTTAGCATCCTCAAGGCCTCCTTCAAGCATTTGTCACAATTATATAATTGTTGTATAATTTTGTTTATTGTACATTTTCTTCACTGGATGGTGAGATCTTTGAGAGCACAGATTATAATTGTATTTTTACCTCTGAAATTTCAGTGGACATAAACATGCTTAAATAAAGCAGGTCCTCAAAAATATTTTTTAATGAGTGAATGAAAACCATAAATGAATGAATATGTCCCCAAAATAGGTCAGATAGTTACACTGTAAAGCTTTCCTCAATGAATTTAATTGGTGAATCTCCTTGGATTCCTGAAAAGTAGTCTCACTTGTTTAATCTTCTACCTTTTATGTCTCTTATCTTCCTACCCTAAGTGCCTCTAATACAGGCATTTATTTTACTCAACTTTATATTTCTACATGGAATTTCACAAAGTCTTTTTACATTCTGCATAAAGTCCAATATGAATAAATATTTTAAAATAAAGTTAGAAGGAAGACATCAAGGAAGGCATAAATGGAAGCAGGCAAGCAGGATGGAAGAATAACATTTAAAATACAAAGATGTGTAAGACAGGTTTTTCCAATTTAAATATATTAACTATTTATGAGTTACTACTATACAGAAGAACTGTTTAACATTTTCAACAATAGCTGCATAAAATAGAAAAGTAATAGTTGAATAATAATCTGGAAACAAAAAGTTTAACATCTGCCTCATTTTGAAAAGATATTTTTGGCAATGCACAGAGGATCACACCTATAAGCCTAGCACTTTGGGAGGCTGAGGCAAGAGGATTGCTTGAGCCTAGGAATTTGAAATCAGCCTGAACAACATAGGAGACACTGTCTCTATAAAAAATTTTTAAAAACTAGTCAGGAATGGTGGTGTGCCTGCTGCTGGTGGAAGAATTGCTTGAGCCCAGGACATTGATGCTGCAGTGAGCAGTGATCAAGCCACTGCACTCCAGCCTGGGCCACAGGGTGAGGCCTTGTCTCTGGAAAAAAATAAAGAAGAAGAAGGAGAAATATATTATTCAAGAGTAGAGGTTCTAATCATTACGTTGCTTAACTTTTTCACTATTTCATCTCTTGACACATCTAAGCTTACCTCTGTAGTAATGTTTCCCCTCTTAATGATATTTTCCCCATAATCCACTGCCAAGAAAAAAAATTGTGAAACAGGTTATGGTAGCTGGGATTTTTTGCAGGTACCTAGAGATTATACTTTAAAGTCCAGGAACTCTTGGAAATCCATTTGAATTTAAAGGGAAATATATGCAATCTGGAACCCCAAACTTCCACTGACTCATCCTAATGATGTTTCACTGAGGTGTTAACAGGTAGACTGCAAAATGAAACTTTAACCTCATCCTTCATCTCCATTCCCTTCCTCTCTCTTTCGTTCTCTTTGGCTTCTCAGAAGCATGGACTTACATGGTGAGAAGTAAGCCTGCTCTTCTCTCTGCAGTTCATATGGAATTCTAGTTTTGTTCAACCCTTTCTGGCCCACTGATTATCATTTGTGACATAAGACTATAGATTAATTAATTTTTCTATTGATGAGTGGGATAAGAGTTAAAATTAGGATTTGGAAAAATACACAAAGGAGTCTTAAAATATTTTCCCATAGTTTAAACCATAGTTGTTTGTTTTCCACATATGTGTATATATGTAAAAATATGTATACATATTTTTACATACAGAAAATCCTCAAAATTTCTCAATAAATTTTTCTTATAAACTTGGACTTTGTGCTTTCTCTCTCAGCCTTATTAAATATGTATTCGAAGCATCTAGTGTAGTATCTTTCCCTCTTAATTATTACATGTAGTTGTAATTTTTTAGCCATATAATCTATTTATATCATCTGATTTACACTCTGTCTAGTAAGACCTGACAGGCTGAGTCAATAGAGTCTTCATAGACAATTTATCTTGTCTATAAAGAAAGCTGAGTTTAGGATATTTAGAAGAAAATTTTTGATCCTGATTTCTAGTTCCTAACATTCAACTTCATTTGCATTTCTAATAACTACATAAGGTTTCACACATTCCTAACGTGTTTGCTAAGCAACAGTTATTAAACTCCTTCTAGGGCAGGGGAATGGATAAAGGACTAGCACAGTACAAATATATATGACACAGCAACCTCCTGAAAGATGCAGAAACAGTGGACACTTATTGAATGCTCGCTATGTTCCAGATTCTAGCAGCTTCATTTTACTACATTCAACTCAAAATCTAGTAGTAAAAGTGAGCTGAAAATATGTAACACTTTTGAAAACTCTGCTAAGCAAAAAAATTGTGAGGCTAGAGTCAAAAAATATCTCTTAAAAACAAAAAAGTGTTTTCAGAGTTGAACAACCGCACACCTTGATGCCAGCAAGCCTACCACACTAGAAATATAAATTGTTTTAAAAAACAATAATAATAATTTCTGGGAANAATGAAATACAAATGGTAGAATTACTAAAAAAAGAAGAAACTATTCTGAAACAAGGATCATTTCTAATGACCTTCAGATCACACACATAGCAGCTATTGTTACCATTTCTACCCATAATGCTAATCTATATATAAGACTTATCTTGCCTTATTTTTTTCTATTTCTCTTTTAATATTTTAATTTTGTTTTTGTTTTTAGACAGGTACTCATTCTGTCACCTGGGTTGGAGCGCAGTTTATATTTTACGATCTGTAATATGTTTTAACAAGAACACATAAAGTACCAAACAGTGTAATTTTTTTAATTATTTGTGAAACCTGATGTGTCCAAAAAGCAAATGATGTAATGTCTAAAAATTCCTTTTAAAAAACTTATATATTGTACCTCTCACTAGATAAGAAGCATTTTCTAAACCTAATGGTTTTGTGTTTTGTTTATTGTTTTTTCATGTAAGTCATCTTAACAGAGTATGAGACAGCTAGAAAGGAAAGTGGGTAGAAGAAATTCCCAAAATAAGCCTTC